TGACCTAGTGGCTTGCTTTCGCACTTTCTCTCTCTCTCTCTCTCGTGCTCTCTCTCTCTGGTCAAATTAAAGTAAATAAATGAATAAATAAAATTAAATAAATTCTTCTTAAAAAAATAAACAAAGATATGGACCGACAATTATGAGAAGGACAATTTAATGTGATTCTTGCTTGGAGCTTGCACTCTAGGTGAGCAAGAAGAGAAATGGGGAAGACCACAGAAAATGAATCCGTTGCAATCTACGGAAAGGTCGCATTTCTGCTGTTCCCTGATGATTTTCTGAAGCAGCTTCCATGAGAAAATGCTCAGAGAGGGCATCGTGGCACGGGAGAGACGACTATTATTTTGTTTTGTAGTGAGTGCGACCCTCACCCCTAAGTTTCAGGTGTCTCTCAAACCCATGAAAACAGCAACATTCAGCCTTACTGCTATGGGTGGCAGATGGCTGCAGAAGAAAGCTACTACATTTTATCTCTGGGGAAGAAAGTACATACAGACATGGGGCTCTGTTTTTGATAGTACCATTTCCCTTCTCCAGACCCTGCAGGGGCTCCTCGTTGCCTCTTGTATCCAGAGAAGACATCGTGGCTCTGTTTTCAGGCTTGTCTATTAGCTAAGCCCCATCAGGCATCTCCTAAGTGCCTTCGTATTTACAGCTACACAACCCACACTGACAAGCCTGCTAATGAGTGAGAAAGCAGCAGCCTGGCTTCCCACAGAGGAATACACAGATTTTAATAGCAGGCTTCCAGAGCCGCGCACCTGCTGCCTGTCCGTGCTGTCTAACCTGGAACCTGGTGCTGGAAACTGCAGCCGGGCCCCCAGGGAAGGGCGGAGGCTGCAAACTGCCATTATGTGTATTCCAGGGATTGCCCTGCTTTCATTTAAGATCAAAACAACAATCCACCTTCTTCCAGAGAGAGGGCAGAGCCTTCGCCGATAAACAACGCTCTGTCAGAGCTAAAGGTGTGCCTGATTTTCTGGGTGTCACCGAACAAGATGGAGACAATGCAGTTTGTTTTTCTTGCCTAAGAATACAAGGCATTTGCCCAAAGGGGAACACCTCTCACCTATGCCTGTTTAGGGAAAACAGGACAAAGAATAGTACAGTCCCTAAGATTTCTTTTTAAAGAATGATTTTATTTTATTTATTTATTATCTTAAAATTTGCTACAGGGTATGCAGCTCAGAAATGATGCTATCCTTGTTCCAGGATCAGAGGTGCTTTGGTGGGGAGAAAAAAGAGAGGGTAGCTGAGGGCAACAGCCCCGGGGAAAGTTATTTCAGGACAATGAGAGAATGCCATGAGTGGACAGGTAGGCTGGGGTCACCCTGGAGCATGCTTTGGGCGTGGGCCAACTCCCACAGCAGGAGACAGGTGGGTGGGACCCAGGCAGGCCTGTAAAAGCCCGAGGACGCGGCTGTTCCACAGATGAGGACATATACAAAAGACCCTGAGCTATGTACTTAAGAGTTGTGTAATTCATTGTATATAAATGACAGCTTAAAACTTATTTAAAAAAAAAAAGGCTTAGAGGGAGACAATCCAGCTCTGCTGGCGCATAGGGGATGGGATGTGAGGCTTGCATTCTCGCTTTCCCCTCCTCTCTCTCTTTTTCTCTCTGGCAAATTCAATAATAATAATAATAATAAAATACATAATTATTTTTTTGAAAATGAATATAGGTATGGCAGATGGGGTGGACACTAAGGCTCTGGAACCCACATGGCCGACTGCGTGGTTCAAGTCCCATGAAAATCACGCTGGGCACATGTGTTCATGCCCAAAATCCTGAGAGGAGAATGGAGAAGAGATGGAGGTGTGGCCATCCCCCATGGGGGAAGTGATTTCTTACTTTCTCTCTGTCTCTCTCTGGTGAGTGCACGTACCCTATAGCAAAACAAAAGAATAAAAAATAAATATTCACTACATTTTAAAATTCAGCAAGAAATGGAGAGATTTAGAGTGCTCCGTATCACCATCTAGACAGTCTCAATTCGAAACTGGGTTTTAGGCTGCTTGTTTCACTAAAAGTAAACACTTCCTGAGAACAGAAAATGAATCACTAGGTAAACATTGAACCGTTTCTAAGTGAACAAGAGACAAATCATCCCATCGAAGCCAAGGTTTCCTCCAGACATTAAAAGATTCATTTATAATGTATCTTTGGGTAAATTACCTTAAACCATTTTTAGACTAGCTTTAATGCTGGGGGAGGAAGGGGAATCCCTACTCTCACACATACTTTCTTTTTGTTTGTTTGTTTTTAAATTTATTTTTGGTTTTTTGTTTTGTTTTGTTTTGTTTTCTGGAGTGCATGCATTCATCAGAGAGAGAAGGAAAGTGAGAAATCACCCTGGGGGATGGCCATGCTGCAGTCCCTTCTCCTCCATTCTCCTCTTGGGATTTTGAGCACACACGCATGCTCACCCTGCGTGTTTTTCAAGCTGCTGGGTCTGGAATTTGAGCTATGAAGTTGGCCATGTGGGATCCAGTGCCTTAAACACTACACGAAGTCTGACCCCACAACATGCTTTCAATGTTCCCCCTTCCATCAATTTATATTCTACACCAGAACAGTAAGAGGATAATGTTCTGAATCCTCGCCTAAGTCCTAATAACCGTCTGCCTTATAGTCGGGGTTCCTGAGTAACACCAGCAGCTCGCTGTGAATCGGTTCACTGACCGTTTCTGCCTAAGCAAACAAGCATTTGCGAAGGCTACAGACAGGCTTCCTTGTAGGAAAGAAATCTTCAAAGTCCCAGGAGACATAGGTATAGCCATAACAGACATGTTTCCTGTCCTCAGCTTCAAAGACATGGGAGGCTGTTAGAAATGTGACAGAGGAAGAACATCAGGGGACAGTGGCTTCCAACAACCAACTGAAATAGAAAGAGGGTCACTTGGGAATCAAAAGCCACTTGTGGGCCAGTCCTGCAAATGACTCTCATTAGAGGCTGGCTTCTTGCTGCTCTCTGCCTGGATCCTCTTGCCTCCCTGAGAAAAACCCCTGCCTATTTCCCCATGGGTGAGAAGGAGGCGGACTCTAGTCACTCTCTAGTTCTGTTTCCTCTCTACATCTTCTAGCTTTCTCATCCTTAAAATGAGAGGGAAATGAAAGTTGTTAAGAGGATTAAAATGGGAGTGTCTATGGGAAGTATTTAACAAACTTCAAATGAGAGCCTATGGACAAAGGAGAGTAATGTGAGAACATTTTGGTGTTATGCTACATGCACTCAGGATATAGTTAGTCATGCACAAAATTAGAATCTAAATCAGAAATAAGAGGTTAGTGGAAGATGGAGGGGTGGGGAAAGGTGAGTCCTTTAGGCTTTTAATCATTGGTCATGTTCAAGTCAGAGGGCTTAGGCATTTGCAATTTAGCTGCATAAGTAAAATCCCAGCATGCTCTAAGAAGGTTGGTCCCATAATCTAAAGGATAGGACTTGGGACCAGCAGTTGGTGTAATGGCTATGTAGCTGAACTCCCATGTGGTCGACTGCGGTTTGAGTCCTGGACCCGGTGGCTTAAACTCACACAGGGTGTGTGTGCGTGCCCAAAATCCCAAGAGGAGAATGGAGGAGAAGGAATTGTGGCATGGCCATCCCCGCTGGGGGGTGATTTCTCGCTTTCTGTCTCTTTGTCTCTCTCTGTCTTTCTGATGAGCGCACACGCCCTACAGCAAAAACCTCTCAAAAATAAAATAAAGATAGGACTTAGAAGTAAATAGTCTCTGGGGAACTTGTCCCTTCACACCCACCTTCAAACCATAGCTAACTCCTAAATAAACAGAGAGTTCTGCCTTGAACCCAGGCTAACCTCCACCCCTCCCAAATTCAGGCTTCATCAGAAGAGAGCACAGCAACTAGACAGTGACCAGGGGCTGGGTGTCAATGCACTGGCTCAGGCTAATTTTCTTTTTCCTCTTTTTTTTTTTTTTATTTTTTATTTATCTATCTTTCATGAGTGAGAGGGACAGAGACAAAGAGACAGTATCCCCAGCAAGGCCCCATCCCCAGGCTCAGCATGCCCCAGGTCATGGGTACCTGTGTGCCTGGTACATAGAAAGAGGCCTCCAGATGCCAAGTGAGAACCTTCCCCCTTGTGGACACCCTCAACGGGGCTGTGTTTATCACTGTGCCACCAGCTGGCCCCAAATGCTAACGTTCTATAGAAAACCACAGAGTCTAAGGAGATGGGACCAGGGACCCACTTTCCTACCAGAAGTGATGGCAGTCACATGGGGACTCATTGAGAAAGTGTGCCAGGGACAAAAAAAAGCAAAGAGAAACTGCTGGATTTAATATCTATGGGTTTCTTTTTCTTTTTTTTAAATAAAAGAGGTTTTCGCCATACGGTGCGTGTGCTTGCCAGAAAGACAGAGAGAGACAGAAAGTGAAAAATCACCCCCCAGTGGGGGATGGCCATGCCACAACCCCTTCCCCCTCTCAGGATCTTGGGCACACACGCCCAGCGTGAATTAAAGCCACCAGGTCCGAGACTCGAACTGCTGTCAACTACATGGGAGTCCAGCGACATAGCCACTACGCCAACTGCTGGTCCCTAGGTGCACTCTTAATAATGCAGAGTATCCCCCTAATAGGTCTGGGCTGTTTCTGCTTATTAACAGAAAGAACGGGATAAGGATGTTTTTCTACCTAAGCAGTAGAAACAGGGCATTTGCTAAAAGGTTAGGACGTGTTGTGCAAGTTTTCTGTATCTAAAATGCCTCTTGCTTTCTGCAAAGTTCTTATCATGGATGGTGACAGCGCACAGCAGAGGAAGGGGTATTTCTAGGCAACAAAGATCAGATGCCCTCTCCTCCTCTGCAGGACTCAAACACCAGACTGCTGTCACCACTGTGGCTATGTTAACACTAATGAGGCCGTTTCCCATCGACGCCCTCAGGACAGACGTGAGAAGGTTCTTCTTTAAAGGGCCACCCAAAGCCCAACAGATCGGCGGGTGGGCACACAGAGGCCAGGAGGGCTACTTACTCTTTGGTCAGAAGAGGACAGGACTTGAGCAGAAAGCGCGAGAGCCCCGAGTCCTGGAAGTAGAGGTCAGGCGAGGCTGTGGGGCTCTTCAGATTCAAACACCGGACGATCACGTACAGCACAGCAGCTACTGCGGCCAGTTTCACCCCGTCAAACACGGCCGGGAGCTCGGGGGTTTCCAGCATGGCATTCATCTTGATCTGGGGAGGAGAAACACAGTGAGGAAGGGACCAGCACTCGTGCCAGTGATGGGACGTCACAACCCAGATGTGTCCGTGGGACAACCCAGGCAGATACCCTCAGTGCTAAACTGGCAATAGCTCAACTCTCAAACATAAGGCCCTGGGCACTGATAAACCGAGTGGGATGTTGGTTTCTTTACTTTCTTTTTTAAAAAAGTTTATTGGGGGCCAGCAGGTAGCATGGTGGTTAAGGCACTGGACACTCCCACAGGGCCAACCACGGTTCGAGTCCCAGACATGGTGGCTTGCTTCCTTTCTCTCTCTCTCTGTTTCTCTGTGTGTCTCTATGGTCAAATTAAAATAAAATGAATACATTAATAAAATTTTTTTAAAAAAGTCTATGTACTGGGGCCAGCAGGTGGTGTGGCAGGTAAAGTGCTGGACTCCTACATGGCCAACCATGGTTCAAGTCCTAGGCCAAGTGGCTTGCTTCCTCACTTTCCCTCTCTCTCTCTCTTTCTGGTGAGCATAAGTGCCCTACAGCAAATTAAAAAATAATAATGATAATAAAATTTAAAAATAAATAATTCTAAAAAAAAAATGAACTTTGTTTTTTTAAGTTCATCTATTTACTTCTTTCACGAGTAAGAGAGAGAGAGGGAGAACCCTCAATAGGATCTTTCATGCCATGATCCATCCCCAGCCCTTAGTCAGCCCTGGTTCATGGACAAGCGCATGCCCGGCCTATTCAGGGAGATCTCTGGACTTGAACCAGAAACCCTCCCATGTCGGATGGCCTCACGGAGTGTCACATTTTACTGCTGCACTGCCATCTGGTCCCTTCTTTGGTAATCTCACAAGCATTTCCAAGATAAACATATTGGAAAATGCCAAGAATAGTGTCTTTTCGAAACTGGGAAAAATAAGACCAGTTAAAGAGGCGGGAGCAGGATCAGGGCAGCGCTTTGATGTCTGTGAACGACTGCCTCTTTGCAGACTGGATCCGCACCTGGTGTACCAGGTGTGCTTTAAGTAGTGTGTTTATAGCTTCGGACAGAAATAAGGCCCCACCTCTCTCTTTTCAGAGCAGGCTGAGAGAAAGCAACCCCCGCCTGGTTTAGCCATCTGCTCCACAGAGACACCCCAGCACTGGAGTCTAGTTCAGACTCAGCCCAATCATGCCATCCTGGCTCCTGGGGCTTTCAGGCAAGTGGCCGTTTCTCTTCCTGCAGAAGGCATAGGACTCTGTACAGCCTTGAGTCCAAAATTGGGCTAAAAATGGACCAAACTCAACTATTAGACCAAAATTTAGAATTAGAGGACAACAACGTATACATATACTTGATTTTTCCCAAATTCTCCTAATGTTCATCTTTTGTATTTATTTATTATTTTTTAGTTTGCTACGGGGCATGCACACTCACTGGAGAAAGACAGAGAGGAAAAGTGAGAAATCACCACCAGGAAGATGGCCACGCTGCAATCCCTTTTCTTCCATTCTCCTCTCAGGATTCTGGGCACACACATACATGCACCTGGAGTGATTTTCAAGCCACCACGTACGGGACTTGAACTGCAAAGTCAGCCATGTGGGATCCAGTGCCTTAACCTCCGGACCATCTGCTGGCCTCCACTATTTAACCCTTTGAGATAGCTTTACCTTATATATAAAACCACACAACACTGCAAACACATACAACTAATCATCAACAACAAAAGCAGCAGCAACAAAAATCCAGTATTTTCCTTGCTGCTCGGCAGAAAAACAGAACTTCAGATGTTACCTTAGAAATCAGGGAAGCCACAAGCAAACAAAATGGTAACTTTCACAGCCACGGTAGCTATGGCAACGGCTTCCCCTGGAATGGTTTCAAGTAGCCTCTGTTAAAAATAGTCATCCTGAAAACTCTGGTAGCCAACAATGGAGACAGAATAGGCGGGACAAAAAAATCTGCAGAAAACGTGTTTGGGGGTGTATAACTAACTGAACTCTCCTGAGACCAGGAGGAGTTCAGAAACTTTTTAAAAATAAAGAAAATTTTGGCAAAGTCCTGAAATTATTAGAGATGATCTCTGGCAGGGGTCCCCAACTCAGTGAGAAAAGGAATTCATAAATCACAGCTCCTTAACCAGTGTTACATCATCAGGGCAAGAAAATGATTTTTAAAAACTTCCCGATGGGGCCGGCAGGTGGCGTGGTAGTTACGGCACTGGACTCCCACAAGGTCAACTGCGGTTTGAGTCTCGGACCAGGTGGCTTGTTTTCTCACTTCCCCTTTCTCCCTCTCTCTTTCTGTGCCACTCTCTGGTGAGCACATGTGCCCTAAAGCAAATTTCAAATAATAATAATAATAGATAAAATTAAAGAAGCAATTCTTTTTTTTTTTTTTTTTTTGTGGGGCCAGCAGTTGGTAGGGTGGTTAGGATGCTGGGCTCCCACATGACTGACCACTGTTCAAGTCCTAGACCTGGCAGCTTGCTTTCTCAGTCTCTCCCTCTCTCTGGTAAGCACATATGCCCTACAGCAAATTTCCAAAAATAATAACAATAAAATGAAAAATAAAAAAATTAAATTAAAAATAAAACCCTCACCTGACACAATTTCAAATCAAGGAATATACTCTCAGCTGTATTTTTCTCCTTTTCCCATAGTAAAAAGGAGAAATAGGGACCAGCAGTTAGCATAATGGCTATGTCGCTGGATTCCTGTGTAGTCAACCGCAGTTGGGAGTCCCGGACCCGGTGGCTTAAACTCATACCGGGCGTGTGTGCGTGTGTGCCCAAGATCCCAAGAGGAGACTGAAGGAGAAGGGACTGCAACGTGGCCATCCCCCTGGGGGGTGATTTCTCGCTTTCTGTCTCTATCTCTGTCTTTCTGCCGAGTGCACGCGCCCTATAGTAAAAATCTCTAATTAATTAATTAAAGGAGAAATAAATAAAACAACAAATAAGTCCTCCCCTTCTCACTTCTATGCACTTTTACTAACTTAAGAGGAAGCAGAAAGAAGAAACAAAAATAAGAATCTTGGCAATACATACCTATGTCACTTCTTCCTCTCACTGTGAATACTAACTGTCCTTGAAGAGTGGTACAGGTGGGCCGGTCAGGTCAGATCTTTTATTCAAATTAACCTAAAAGCAGGAAAAAATTAGATGATGAGGTCTTAACGATTGTGAAAGAAGCAATTTAATTGAAACATAAAGGACGATCTAAGTTCCTCTGCATTTGAAATCTTTAGAGAGAAAGACAATTGCTTTAATTAACATGTATGCCACATTCTTGGACATCTAGCCACTTTAAGAAACCTACAGAGGGAGACTAGCAGTTGACATGACGGCTATATCGCTGGACTCCCATGTAGTCGACAAAAGTTCTGAGTCCCGGACCTGGTAGCTTAAATTCATGCTGGGCGTGTGTGCGTGTGTGCCCAAGATCCTGAGAGGAGAATGGAGGAGAAGGGAATGTGAAGTGGCCATCCCCCTTCCGGGGGATGATTTCTTATTTTCTGTCTCTCTGTCTCTCTCTGTCGTTCTGGCGAGAACACACGCCCTATAGCAAAAACCTTTCCAAAAAAAAAGAAAAGAAACCTACAGAGGAAGGGGGGCAGCAGGTGACATAGTGGTTAAGGTCCTAGACTTCCACATGGCCAACCGCAGTTCAAGTCCTCTCCCTTTCTCTCTCTCCTTCTCTCTTTCTGGTCAAATATATAAAACAAACAAACAAACTAAAACAACAAATGGAATGAAATAAATAATTGTTAAAAATAAAGAAGATAGTACAACCAGCTGACTCATCCTTGTCTTCCAAACATACAGCAATGATAGAAAACACAGGAGCTGAGAAAAGTAAATGGTAAGGGCTGACAGGTGGTATGGTGGTTAAGCTGCTGGATTCCTACATCGCTGACCACGGTTCCAGTCTTGGACCCAGCAGCTTGAAACTCACAGTGGGTACATGTGTGTGCATGTCCAAAATCCCAAGAACAAAACAGAGGAGATGTGATTAGAGCATGGCCATAGCCCGGGGTGGGGGGTGATTTCCCACTTTCCTTCTCTCTCTCTGTCACTCTCTTTTTTTTGATGATGGGTCATATATTTTTTTTTATTTTATTTTTTTTTTTTTGGAGAGGTTTTTGCTATAGGGGGCATGCGCTTGCCAGAAAGAGAGACAGAAAGCGAGAAATCACCCCCCAGGGGAGATGGCCACACCACAATCCCTTCTCCTCCATTCTCCTCTTGGGATCTTGGGCACACATGCACATGTGCCCAGCATGAGTTTAAGCCACTGGGTCTAGGACTCAAAGCGCGGTCGATTATATGGGAGTTCAGTGACACAACCATTACACTAACTGCTGGTCCCTCTATGTCACTCTTTAGTCTAGAGTGCATGCACCCTATGGTAAAGCCTCCAAATAAATAAATAAATAAATTAGGAACCGGCATCAGTATTCTAAAAACGAGGTACTGGGGCCAGGAGGTGATGCTCTGCAAGGCAATCCCACATGGGAAGATTCCCAGTTCAAGTCTGAAGACCTCCCTGAGTTCACCAGTCACATGCCCCAGGATGCAGAGCTAGCTAAAAGCTGGAGGTGGACTGCAGTGTGTCAGGACCCTGCTGGGGCTGCTGTCTCTCTCTTTCTTTCTGTCTCTCTTATTCATGGAAGAAGTGAATAATTAAAAACAAAACAAAACGAGGTACAAGAAACAGAACAAAGATGAAAGCGATGGGAGTGGGGGGGGGGGGGGGGGGGAGGTTGCGTCGCTTGCCAAGTCTAGTCCAGACTGTGAACCAGAAGCTGGCTGCTGCGGGGCACCAGGAACTGAAGGTGATCCCTGGGAGATGAGTGACCAGAGTGGAACCGCTAGAGAGAGCCTGCTAGAAGATCTGTGGCTTCCAAAGCAGCAGAGAAAGCAAAAGGAGAACATGGCAGGGCCGGTTCCATAGCCTTGTGATTAAGGGAGCCAGGTCTCACATGGCTGACAGTGGTTCAAATCCCAGCCCCAGCAACTTGAAAAGCACACCGGGTATATGTGTGTAAATACCCAAAAACCCAACGGGATAGAGAAATGAAAGAGAAAGGACTTAAGCATGATTACACCCCACCAAGGGCGTGCTTTTCTGGTGAGTGCATATGCTCTCTGGCAATTAAAAAAAAAAAGAAAGAAAAAGAAAAAGAACATGGAGAAATCGCCAGTGTTTACACTCTCTACGTGCCAAGCTCTGTTCATTCTTACCACACCCTGTGATGCTTTCATTACCCCATTTTACAGACGAGAGCACTGAGGCACAGAAAGTTTAGGCATGGAGGTTGAGGTGCTGGATCCCACGTGGCCAACAGCATGGTCTGAATGTCAAACCCAGAGGCCTGAGTATTACACTGGGTGCCTGTGAGTGTGCGCCCGCAATCCTGAAATGAGAAAGGATTGCGGTGTGGCTGTCCCCCCCCTGGAGTGGGGAGTGATTTCTCACTTTCCCTCTCTCTCTGTCTCCCTGTCTCTCTCTGGTAAGTGCACATGCCTGATGGCAAAAAACTAAAAAAGAAAAAGTTTGGGCAACTTGCTCCAAGGCCTTACAGTTGGACGGTTGAAAAGCCAGGATTCAGAACTGGCTCCAGACACCCCTGTCTAAACCACCACACTGTGCTACTGGAAAGCAGGAAAAACAGAGAGAGAGAAGCCAGCAAGAAAGACAATGGATGTACAAAAAACACAAATGAGATGCCAGAGGCTTGCCAAAAGCTGCACAGCTGTAAATAGCAGAGCTGGGATTCTAATCCAATTTTTGTTTTCTGATTCCACCACACCAAAGTGATTTATGAAGAAAATGAAAGCCAGTAAGAGGGAAAACCAATTAACTTCCAGCCTCCTGTTTGATTTTAAACATTTATTATCTCTTCATATCCTGAGACGAATTGGTTGCAGAGGACCAGGCTGTGGTGAGCAGGGACACAGGAGTGCGATCTCCAGCCCTGTTACCTGACCTAACCACGATCAGCTGCCAGCTGAAAAACAAGGCATGGACCAGATCAAAGATCCTGATCTGGCAGTCCAGGGGTTGGTGTTGCATGTGGGGGCTGGCATTTTTAAAAAATTGAATTTATTGGGACCAGCAGTTAGCGTAATGGCTATGTCACTGGACTCCCACGTAGTCGACTGTGGTTCGCATCCTGGACCCGGTGGCTTAAAACTCACGCCGGGTGCATGTGCGTGCGTGCCCAAGATCCCGAGAGGAGAATGGAGGAGAAGGGATTGCGGCATGGCCATCCCCCCTGGGGGAGTGATTTCTCGCTTTCTGTCTGTTTCTCTCTGTCTGTCTGGCGAGTGCATGCACCCTACAGCAAAAACCTCTCAAAAAAATTAAATTTATTAGCTATCAAATAATAAACACTCAGATTTTAGATCAAAACCTATATTGCTGGTTGCTCTTGAAAATAAAATCAGGAGATTTGGTGACATGGAGCCAGCATTTTCACATGGCAACGATGAGTGGTGGGGCTATGCCTCAGTGCTCTCATCTTAAAATGGGGTAATGATTGTAGCACAGGCCTAGACTGCCTGCCTCAAGACTTCCTTTCTATGGGAGAAAAAAAGTCTAAGCCACTATTTCTAGACTTAATCTGTCATTTCTAAAAGTTTATTTCTTCTGTGAGTGAAAGAAACAAGAAGAGAAAAAGAGACGCTCCACTCATAGGATCTCCATGCTGCAATCTAACCCCAGCCTCGGCCAACCCTAGATCAGGGGCATCTGTGCAGGAGCAGATTCAGGGAGGTCTCTGGATGTGAACCAGGAACCTCTGCATGTAAATCAGTCTCATAGAGCATTGCATTACCACTGTGTCGCCATCCAGCCCTTCTAATCTGCAATTTCTAATGATACAGGAGGAAACACTATACACCCAGTCTTTGAGGGTTGCTAAAATTGCTGAGTTGTAAGCAAATTAATACTTTCCCCTTTTTCTCTAATTTCCAAAATTAGTAACAACTATAAATACTTTTGTTATTAGAAAAGGGACTTTCAAACAGCAACTAAAATAGCAACTAACAGAATCTAAAAAGAAATGTTAAAACCCTAGACAAGGAAAATGCATATATCAATGTCTTCGACCATTATGTATAAGTTTTGTTATGATTAAGCTTAGGTCTTTGAGTTTTCTGACTTGCAGGGGGAAAGGAGAAACCCAGTCAGACCTACGGGTCTCCAAAACGAGAAGAGCTAACATATATATAGTGTTCTTTCTCCAAAAGCATGACAGACATCAGTGGAAACAGTGTTTTTCTGGTACAGAATTTATTTATGCATACATATATAAATAAATAAAGATCTGCAGGGCTTTATATAAGGGAAACTTGAATGATATGACAATGTCCTCCTACAACTTTTTTTAATAGCAAATGCAATAGAGAATTTTCTCAACCCTCAAAAAATGCCAGAGTTTTGCAATTCAATTCATTCCAGGGAAGGCAATCCTATGAGAGATTTATAATTATTGTGGTCTAAATATACAGCCTGTTTCCAAAGCTTGAACCTCATGTCCTGAGGTTCTCCTTGTCCCTAAGGCCACCTCCCTTGGGTTTCAGGAACTTAAGCACCTGGCCACCTACCCAACATTGTATAGGACCAATGAAAAAGAATTCATGCTTTTGCTGGGGAGAAAATGTTATGTTAAGGCTGTAAATACTTTAGAAGCTGGAAGACAGGAGTTACTCCAGGAAAAAATTAACCAGGGAAGGACTTAGAGAGCAGCCAGCTCTAGAACTCGGTTTCTAAAACATGCCTGACTGGTATTTCCACCAGTGGAAAGGCCCAGGCTGGGCCTCCCACGCTTCTCCTGTGGTTGTGAGCATTATTTTAAGATGGAGGCACTCGGGCCGGCTGGCAGCATGGTGATTAAGGTGGATGGATTCCATGGCCGATAGCACAGTTTGAGTCCTGGACCCATCATCTTGAGAAACATGCCAGGCATGTATGTATGCTTGCTGGAAATCCTGAAAGAAGGAAAAATGGAGGAGAAAGAATTGCAGTGAGACCATTCCCCATTGGTAGGGGCATGGAGGTGCTTTCTCACTTTCTCCTTCTGGCATACACTTACACACACGCTCTCTGGAAAACATTTTTTATAAAAAGGTGGAGG